CCTATAGAGACTGCAGAGATAAAAGGGGGCGGGAAACTGGGGGAGATAAAGAGAGGGATGAGGAGACCCACCCTCCCACCCCACCCCCAAGAACCAAACCTGCTCCCAACTCCTGGTCACTGGGTAGCTGCACTGCAGACTGGGTGGATAGTCCCACAGGGTCAGGGAGGGTAGGGTGTGTGTGTGGTGTGTGTGTGGGGGGGTGTCGGTCTTTTCTATTGGCTGGCCCAGGACACTGCCCAGTTACAAATTAAGGATGATTGATCTCTGGTGTGAGTTCCCGTAAATCACGATGGGTCGGGCCCCTTGGTCCGGCTTTGGGGGTCGGGCCAGGGATTTAGCCGGGAGCCCGGAGGGTAGGGAAGCTTGGGTGCAGCTCTCAGCTTTACACAACGAAACTTACCCCCCTTCTTCATGGGTCATGATAAAAAAAACAGCACAGACACAAAATGTGCTCTGTAGTTGACATGCAACCAGCTTTTCGGGAATTGCTCATCTGCTGAGTTTCCAAGGAACCCTTTGGAAATAGGCCCCATTGTGCCCCTTTGATATTTAAGATACCCAGCCTTGGAGCATTTCTTGTCTGGCCCATGATCACCCTCACTTGGAGATAAGCCTGAAGTGGACATAATCTCCTGAAGCCCTAACCTGGTCCCTGGCCTCCCCTGTCATCTGTGGGTGTGCTGCTTCGCCTCTGGGCCATCTGGAATCAGTGCTTCCTTCCCTGTAATACAGAGAAGGAGTCCCAGGCACCCAGCCCAGCAAGCATTAGCCTCAAGTAACAAACAAACAAACAAACAAACAAACAAAAGAAACCCGGAAAGCTGCGGTGTGTGTGTTGGAGGGAGCAGTAGCAGTGGCCTGGGAATTTCATTTATCTGAAATTCAAATTTAACTGGGCATTCAGTATCGTATTTACTAATAAATCTCATATCCAACTCATAACTCCTTTGACAGGCAAGACAGTCTCTGATGACCCAACACAGCTCTAATGTTCTATGATCTCCCTGCTGGGCCTGTCCTGTTTGGCACATTCAGGAAAATTGGCTGCTAGCACTGCTACTCTAAGGTACTGACCAAGGACAGAAGTGAGAGAGGATGTTTGTGTGTCTCCTTGGGAGTCTCTGGAAAACATGCATAAAGACTCTACACCTTCTTTGCGGGTGCTTCATTCCCTGTGGCCACTTGGGAACCTCCTAAACTGTGGGGAAGTTTCTTCACACCAATGCCATGTGAGGAATAGAGGGACAAAATAAAATGGAGTCACTATAGTCAAGCTGCTAAATTACCAAAATCAAATAGGATGAGGTACAAGGAAATGATTCTATTTTTTTTTAAGAACTTTTTTTTTTAAAAGAAATTTTATTGGGGAACAGTGTGTTTTTCCAGGACACATCAGCTCCAAGTCAAGTAGTTGTCTTCAATCTCGTTGTGGAGGGGGCAGCTCCTTGGCCCATGTGGGAATCAAACCGGCAATCTTGGTGTTATGAGCCTGCGCTCTAACCACCTGAGCTAACTGGCTGCCCCATGATTCTATTCTTGTTTTAACTGGCCTGGTAACTAAATTTTTGAACTTGCCAGTCCTGTGTCAATGCATCAAACCTTCAGATAATGCTCTGGTTACCCCCTGAAGGACTCACGTATCCAAAGCACCTGGCACCCAGCTGGCATCCATCATCCAGACTGCCTGACATCTGACTGATAATTGTCCTGGACCAATCCTAGGGCTAAGAATGCAGGCCTGAGTATTCCTAAGAAGGCACTTTTTACTATAAGAACTCAACTTTTCTTTTTCCTTCAGAACACTTCTGGGTTTTTTGCCTAGCTGTGATCCCAGATTGCAACCTCTAAGATCCTCGAATAAATCTTTATCACTTATTTCTAGTCAAAGCTTCCAGACTCTTTTTGGGTTTGTTTGACACATGGTTGGAGCAGCTGTACACACAATACCACTTCTCCATCTCCAGGGCCCAAGCTGAGGGCCTCGAAGACACATAGAGCTTATGGGTTCTGGAAAATGGGCCAGCCAAAGAAAAAGAAGGTGGTGGAAAACAACCTCCCTTATCCTCTTATTAGTCCTCATGACACATATGAAGTGGGTGCTAACATGAGTCCCATCTTAAATGAATTTAAAAAAAAAATGAGGGCCGGCCGAGCGGCGTGTTGATAAAGAGTTGGCTTGGGACACCAGAGGGCACTGGTTCGGATCCCACATATGAGGGCCAGTGACACTGCCCTCTACAGCTAAGATGCTGAACAACAGCTCAACCTGGAGGTGGGCTGCCGTGAGTCTTGGGTGACGGCGTAGGCTGCAGCCCCTGCTGCAGTGGGTTGCCATGGGCTACCGTGTGTAGCCAGCAGCCAGCGTGAGTGGCCAGCAGCCGCCATGAGCGGCCGTCCAGAAGCCGGTGACTGATCTGCCTGTCTGGGAAGAGCGCAATGATGGTGCCAACTTGGGCCAGTGAAGCAACGTCCTCCACAACTAGATTGAAGAACAAATCGACAGCAACTTGTCTGTTCCCCTTCCCCGAGTTCCCCAATAAAAATCTTAAAAAAAAAAAAAAATGAGAGTCACACAAATTAACTGATTCACTCACCCAACACAGCTAGTAAGTGACAGAGCCAGGATATGGACCAAGTCTGTTTGACCCTGAAATCCTGTATTAACCCCTGTAAATTACTGGCATATGCCAAGGGCTAGCCTAAAGCAGGCAGCAGAGTGAGCATCCTGTGGTCAACTGCAGGAGTCTGATGCTCTGTGGAGCAAGTCGCAGGGTGGACAAGGCCCAATTGAGAGGTTTTCCCAGCCTGTTGTTCTACCTTCACCAGCTATCTTAGCTCTCTGGCCAAAGCCATTCCTGCTCTCCCAATATTTAGAGGGTGTCTCTGCTTTGTGCAGTCTCTCCTGCCTAAAAAAGCTGAGGCTTTCCCTGACTGAGACACTAGCACTTTTCTGCTGGAGGTTGACTTAATTGAAGTGTGTGAAGAATTTCTCCTTAGCGTGGGTGTTCAGATAGTCCATCAGCTTAGATCTGTGAATCCAGTCCTTCCCCCACCCCTGGGGACCTTCTGTGCCATGAGAACTTTCCGTCTGGTGGGTGAGGAGGGATGACAAGCCCACAGGGACCTCTTCCCCTATGTTGTATGTATACATGGCTTCTAACCCCCGGGGGGTTTCCTGGTGTTGAACAAGGTTCAAGTTCTCCCTAAAGCTCTTTTTGTACTTAGAGCATTTTATCAGGCTTTTCTCCCACATAGGTCCTCAGATACTGAAAGGTACAAGCGGCTGTGAGTCAACGCTTTCTCACAATCTGTATACCTATAGTTTCTCCCCTGAAGGAAAATTAGACAAAACTTGGAAATCAGGAAAATGAATCAGGGGCAGCTGATTCTCAGAACACAGAGCATCATTCAAGTGACAATTTTCTCAGTTTTCCCACAGACAGTGCTCTGGTAGCACTCTGGATGCAGAGAGAAGTTGATTGGTTACAAAGAATGCCTTGGGCATGTGGGAGCTAAAAAAGTAATAGCTTTCCTCCCACCTTCTATGTTCCTCTAGCTGGGCTAATAATCAAATTAACAGACATATTAATAGGAGAAAATCAAATATTTAATACATGTTTATGGGGAATTCACATAGGCATGAAAATTCCAAAGGCACTGAGACAACATTGGGTGTATATGACATTTTTGGACAAAAGAGAAACATGGGGGACGGGATATTAGATTTCAGAAGTGAGAATGGGTGGGTTACAGGTAGTTGAGGAACAGCTGAATATGTGTGGCAGGAAAATTCTTTCTGGGCAACTCAGAAGCAATGGGACACTAGCTAATGGGGTTGGAGTCTTTCTGGCTAATGCTGGGGTGAATTTTCTTAAGGTGATTAAACCAATCCTCCCTTCCCAAGGCAGGTTTTTCTACCTGAATCTCTTGGGCAGGAAAAGAGTGGAGGGTCAAAGGTTCTTTCTGAGTCTTTTGTTTCTTAATAAACAGCTTAAAATCAATATCCCAAAAAGTAGCTTCAAGGTGGAAAAATTTTGGTTTCCTTCAGGCATTAGAGCTCAATCCTCTTTTTAGTACAAACTGGCTGAGAAATGTCATTCAAGAGAAATAAAATTTTCTTTGACTTCTTACTTACTATGGCTCAGGGCCCAGAGTCGATACTGTCAGATGTTGGCCTGCCAAAATAGGTACGACAAAAATATTTTTTGTCTGGTAGAGATGAGAGTGAAATGGAAACATTTGGAAAAGACGATAATGATAACTCCAAAGTTTATGGTCTTATTGGGCAGTAGCCAATTTGGTAGCTAATTTAGCTTTGTTATTCTAGCATTCTCTTTTTCACTGAGAGCATGTGCGCGTGCGCACGCGCACACACACACACACACACACACACAGAAACACACACACACACACACACACACACACACACACACACACACACCAGTTTCTTGCATCATTCTTTGAACCAGCTTTGCCATCCTGATGTTTGTCTTAATGTCCTCACTGCATGTTTGTGTGAGAATGTTTCTGCCATTCTGAGAACTGTGGTTCGGCTTTCCCTGTTGTGGTGGGGTTATGGATGCTTTGTGAGTCAAGATGGACTGAACCTTGTCTCCTATTTCCAACAAACATAGTCCTCTCTGGGGGGAAAGCTCAGGTTTGGCAGCCGTGAGTGAAGAGGCCGTGGGGGCTCCTGCCCCCTAACATCTTTACTCATTGCTTTTCTCACCAGTCTGTCTCACATGGGTTCTTTCCTGCTCAAATTTCCAGGGACCAATCCTCCCTGGGAACTTACTAGAATGTCTATGTTCACAGGACTGTTCTGCTAAAGACCCTCTTCTCCGATATTAGCACTCCCATGTCCAGTACAGCACTATTCACAATAGCTAAGATGTGGAAACAACCTAAATGTCCGACAGATGGACAGATAAAAAGAATGTGATATGTGTATACAATGGAGTACTATTCAGCCTTAAGAAAGAAGGAAATTCTGCAATATGAGACAATGTATTGGACCTTGAGGACTTTACGCTAAATGAAATAAGCCAGACATAGAAAGACAAATACTATATGATTCTACTTATATGAGATACCTAAAATGTTCAAATTCATAAAATCAAAGATTAGAATGGTGATTACCAGAGGCTATGGGGGAAAGAGGTTCTGGGGAGTTATTAATCAACAGGCATACAGTTTC